CTCCCCCTCCTGTTCCTCCTGGGCACAACCTGGCGAGCGGCAGAGTCTGTCGCTCGTCAGCCTGCGGATGCCGCGCGTGGCCTAGGGCGCACCTTACAACCACTGTAGGCCACGTGTGAGCGGACAGAAACCGCATGCGCCCCCCTCACCCCATCGGTCGGTGCAGACCCCGCGGCAGCCGCTGCTACAGCCACGGCGAGGACCCTCATCCGCAAAAGGGGCAGGGGGCGCACTGCGGCCTAAACGATCAAACGGTCGAGAGAGAGAGAGAGAGAACTCGATAGACCTTCCCATCGAGCTGAATATTCCCGTTTGCCGGCCAGCCTTGTGAGCACCTTCCGCCCCCACTCCGTCGCCTTGGGGGGGCAAGGGGCCCACAGGCTCGAGACAAGAGCAGCGGCAAAGCTAGCTCAGCGCAGACATCCAACTGCGCGCGGGCCGCCATGTAGTTGGATCTTGGCAAGGGCATGCACTCTGGACCCCTCTCCCAGCTTCTCCTGAGCAGCTAACGCACGACTAACCACGTCGCTGGAAGGGGGTCCTTGCCAGAATCAGCTGTGGCACTGGCGGCTAGCCTCGCATGTGACGCTTAGGATGACCGCAATCCTCCAATCCGTCGCTGAGGCGCCCGATCCATGTGCCCCAAGCTTTAACGACTTTGGTTCGCGCCTGCAGCTGCTCCCGTGCGCCAGACGCAACGCGGTGGAACGCAGCAGCACTCTTCGCAGCAATGTCCGCCTTCGCATTACCATGCCTATACCTGGCCGTGGTGCGTCCAAGGAGAACGCCATCCACGGTCGCATGGCCTTTAACCTTGAAGATCTCGCACCCATCCCCCCAGTCATCCACCAGCCGCCAGAACTCAGAACTCCATCCAGAGACGGGCGCGCGCGGAAACACAGGCAGCGGTAGCCGCCCGTCCACGCTCGTGGACACCATCCACAACAAGAGCAGAATCAGTGAAGATGCGGACAGGTGGCGTCGCAAGTCGAACGACAGCAACGAGCCCAGCTGCAAACATACACTGCAGCGGACCAAGCGCAGGCCCTGAGCAGAGGGTGACCACCTGGTTCCGATCAGGATGAAGCGCCACGAACCCCCAGCCAGCACTCGTAGACTCGGATGCTCTGCTTCAGAAACCGAACCGCCAGGACGCACATCGCCAGTGAAGCAGTCAAGGCCTCCAACCCCCCAACGGACGGGCTGCCCTGGTGGCGGCCTCTCGAGAACAGGAAACGGCCCTAAGCAGCGCTCCGCGCGAATGAAGGCACGCGAGGACTGCGCAGCTGCCTGAGCCGCATTGGCTCTGAAGACAGGGGCCCCATCAGGGCTGTCGAGGCGCGCGCGCGAACCGTGTCGATGCACAAGCGCACCCTCGGCGGAGGGGCACAGCAGGCACGCGGCCGCGCTGTCGCAACCATCGGCCCACTGGCACTTTTGAGGCCACTGGCCCCCCGCGACGGCGCTACGCAGGTGGCCCCACTGCCGGGCCGCGAGCTGACTCTTGCTGCCAAGCAGGGCCTTCAGGGGGCTCATGATCACAGCATTGTCGAACGAACGCTGGTCAAGATGGTCAGCAACTCTAGCAAGCTGCCAGCGCTCCACCGCACGAAACAAGAGCTCCTGGATAGTGGCAGGGCACTAGTTGGCGGGGTTGATGTTGGCACCATCAGGCCAAATCCAAAAGGTAGGCGTGGCAGCTGGTAGCCGCGATGTCTATCCGCTGCAACGAGGCCCAGAGAGCTCCGAAAAGGGGCCCCTGATAGAGGACCCGGGGTGCGCCAGCCCAGGCAGGTTCCCATGGGCCTGGCGGATCCCGAAGTCGAACGCCTCCCTGGGAAGCCATGAGCGCCACGGGGCAAGGAGGAAGGCCCTGACGGGAAGCCACGTGGCCCTGAAGATGGGGTCCAAGCGGGGCACAGGAGACAGGAGCAGAGCCAAGGTGCGAGACTTGCCATCCTGGTGATGGTCTTGCAGCTTCCCAGCCGCGCCTCGAAGGACCTCCAGCCCCTTGTCATTCGCGCCAATGACCGAAGCCCCAGACAACGCCGAGGCCTCCAAAGACGCTCGAGTCATACAACCGAGCACACGGCGACGGGGCTCGGAGCCTTTCAGGAAGCCCATCCGAACCAACATGGGCCGCATGTCAGAAACGCGCCCGCGCACGGTGCCACGGCTGGCCACCAACCCCGCGCCGAAGTCCACGCCGAGGTTGCGCTCGGACCGAACGGGAAGGGGCTGGAGGCTCTTCAGCTTACGAGCGATAGCGCCCCTCACCACCGCCGTATTCCCAAGAACTCTGGGCTTGTCAAGCGCGATGCGCAGGTCGATCCTGCTGAGGCACTGGGCAAGCCGCTTGCCAGCCGCTGAGATGTCGTCGACGACTCGCGACTCCGCGCCCCGGCGCACGAGGCCGAAGTCGTCAACTTTGACCGACAACTGAACTGCGGACCGCGCGGCCTGCACAACATCCAAAGGGCCTGGCATAACAAGTTGCAACATGCACGTGACAAATGTACACCCTGGAACAATCGCTTGCTCAATATGCAAGAGGTTGCCAACCTCACCACCAACATCCAGGACCCTGGGAGCCCGACAAATCTGAACCAACCGGTACACTTGCCACAAAGAGAAAGCGGCCGCCGCCGCAGCGTCGATCAAGTGATGGCGCCGGACCAACTCAAGAGCCTTCTTAAGATCTAACAGAAGGGTCGCGCACGACCTGGCCTCAAACGTGGAATGCGCCGACGAAGCCGCCTGAAGCCAAACATATTTCTCAGAAGACTTCCCATGAGTGGACCAGAACAAGGAGCGATACTTGGCCCGCTGCCAGGCTACCGTCCCGACCCGTCCCCCCCACTAGGATCGAGCGAGACAAGCGCGGCCCCTTCCGCACAGGGGGAAGCGCGCACAGGGGGCAACAGGACGCCACCTTCTCCAAAGGTGGCGTGCGCAGCTGCCTCGGCAGCGAGGACAGGCTCAGGCTCAGGGGCGTCAACCATCTAGACCTCGTCATCATCGTCGCTTTCCTCATCATCACTGGGTTCACCACCAGCAGGCTGAAGAACACCACCACGTGTAGCCATGAGCGAACGCAGCGACTCCGCCAGCTCGGGCGACAAGAACTCGAACTGCATGAGCAAAGCAAAGCCAGGGTCGTCGGCACCGACTGCCGCAACAGCTCCACCACACGAGGACGACCTTCTGCAGGTAGCTGACTGACCGCCGCCCACGCTGCCGCAGCCTTGACACCAGCAGCCCGCTCTTGAGACTGCACCTGGTCGAGCTTGGCTCTGGCCGCAACCAACTCCAAGAACTTCTCGTGCACCTCCTTCTCGAGCTTGGTGGCCTTGGCCTTGGCCTGCGCCACCTGCCTCTTGAGCTCGTCGTGAGCCCACTGACTGTGTTTCGCAACCGCTTTGGTGTCACCCGCCGCCAGCGCACGCTGCGCCGACACGCGGGCACGTTGGCTTGGACCACGAAGAGACTTGCTGGCTTCGATATCATAACTGGACATCTTTACCAACACCGCCAACTGGGACTCGTCGAACAGCTTGGGCTTGGCCTTCGCCACCTTGGGAGGCCCGTTGGCCCAGTCCCCCTGTGGAGCACGAACAGGATGAGAAGCTGGAACCACAGGACGCTCAGCACCACACTTCTAGCAGTGCTTCTTCCACGCGAAGTTCGTCTTGAAACCGCACTTCTTGTTTGGACAGCACCAGACATCGCTGCGACTGAGACTGCCCACGGAACGCAAACGAACGAGAAGCGCCACCGCGCGTGAGGCAAGCCTCAATACAGTGATGGGACTCCTGGAGAGAAGAAGAAAGCAGTGGAGCCGCAAATCCCCTTGGCAAAAACTCGCGTCCGCTCGAGCACTGCCTCCAGACTTGAGCCAAAATGGCTACGGACCCCTCCTCCTCCTCCTCCTCCTCCCCCTCCTCCTCCTCCTCCTTTTCCACCACCTCCTCCTCCACCTCCTCCTCCTCCTCTTCCTCTTCCTCCTCCTCCCTCTCCTGATCCGTCTCCTCCTCCTCCTGCTCCTCCTCCTCCTCCTCCTCCTCATTCCTCATCTCCCTCCTCCGTCCCCGTGAGCAAACAACAAAAACATGTCTGGGGCCGCTGTCTTGGGCGACAGGATCTATACATATTCAGTGTCCCAGGCCTGGCCCATCCTGGGCCCAGCAGCAGCGAGTCCGCCCTCCTGGCTTGGCCAGGGAGGCACACACACCGCTCCTGGGCCAAGAACGGACCAGGCCTGGGGCAGCGGATACGTATAGATCTTATTGCCTTACGGTCGTCCTCCGGGCTCCGTCTCCCAGCAAGCTGCTCGCGGAATGAACAATTGGCCCCGCGGAAGGGGGTCAAGATCCCAAGGGCCCGCGCTGCCGTCTGAAGACTCACGACCTCGGGATGGTCTGGGTATCGGGCGGAGGAAAAGGAGGAGGAGGAGGAGGAGGAGGAGGAGGAGGTGGAGGAGGTGGAGGAGGAGGAGGAGGAGGAGGAGGTGGAGGAGGTGGAGGAGGAGGTGGAGGAGGAGGTAGAGGAGGAGGAGGGAAGAAGAGACTGCACAAGCATGGGCTCTCGGAGATCCTCGCGGACTTCCTGTCTCGGCGCCAGACCTCCCTCCCAGCCGCGCCCCCGCCGGCGCGCGGAGCGCGTGCGGAGGCTCGCTCTGGGCGGGGTGCGCCAGGCCAGGGGTCCATACACAGGGCCCAGCGTCGACCCCAGACACTCCGCGCGGAGCGCCGGAGGCTCACGCCTGTGCCTGTTTAGGGCATGCGATCCCTCTGACCCGCGGCTCCTGTTGCTTCCGGATCGCCTCCTGCTGCTCCGCGATGATCTTCGCCTGCGCGGCCTTCTGCTCCGCCTCGTCCTCCTCCTCCTCCTCCTCCTCCTCCTCGTCCTCCTCTGCTGATTCTCCTCCTTCCCCTCCTCCTCCTCCTCCTCCTCCTCCTCCTCCTCCTCCTCCTCCTCCTCCTCCTCCTCCTCATTCCTCATCCCCCTCCTCCGGCGCCGTGAGCAAACAACAAAAACATGTCTGGGGCCGCTGTCTTGGGCGACAGGATCTATACATATAAGTGTCCCAGGCCTGGCCCATCCTGGGCCCAGCAGCAGCGTGTCCGCCCTCCTGGCTTGGCCAGGGAGGCACACACACACCGCTCCTGGGCCAAGAACGGACCAAGCCTGGGGCAGCGGATACGTAAAGATCTTGTTGCCTTACGGTCGTCCTTCGGGCTCCGTCTCCCGGCAAGCTGCTCGCGGAATGAAAAACTGGCCCCGCGGAAAGGGGGTCCAGGTCCCAAGGGCCCGCGCTGCCGTCTGAAGACTCACGACCTCGGGATGGTCTGGGTATCGGGAGGAGGAAAAGGAGGAGGAGGAGGAGGAGGAGGAGGAGGAGGAGGAGGAACCGACCCCAGACATTCCGCGCGGAGCGCCGAAGGCTCATGCCTGTGCCTGTTTTGGGCCTGCGATCCCTCTGACCCGCGGCTCCTGTTGCTTCTGGATCGCCTCCTGCTGCTCCGCGATGATCTTCGCCTGCGCGGCCTGCTGCTCCTGGATCGCCGCCTGCTGCTGAGCGATGATCTTGGCCTGCTCCTCTCTCTCCTTCGCCTGCTCCTCCTCCTGCTGGGCCATCACTTTGGCGATGTCCTCATCGCTGCGGGGCTTCGGTCTGTCCTTGGCGGGCAATACCGCGATACCGAAGCACTTCGCCCACTCGTCCGCCACCTTGAACGGGTGGTACGCGGCCTTGCCATCGATGCACATTTCTGCAACGAGAGGGTCTTGACTGCAATATGCGTCGTGCATGATGTCGGGGACCATGACGCTCTGGACGCCTATGGCATCCATGCACTCCTGAAGCCACATGTCCTCACCCATGAGCGCGGCATTTTCTACCTTCTCCTGGCACTGCGCACCCACGGCAGCGTACGTGGACAAGCCAGTCCTGGAGACGACCTCCAGCGAGCCGAAGAGCTCTAAGCCCCGGGGTCCACCTGGGCAGTTACGGAAAAGGGTTGGTTGATCGGCCGCGTAGCCCTTCTGGTGCAGGATGTCCTGCAGCGCCGTTGGCACCAACACCGCGTCCGGATCGGCTTTCACGACGAAATCGTCTTGAAGGTAGGTTCCCTCGTCGATGATAGTCTGCCAAGCTGTCTTGAACACCTCCGTGTTCACCCACGTGGCGGTCAAGGAGGCGCCCCCGCCCAGCGACGACGACACAGTCGGCAGCGTCCAACTGGTCGCCTTCGGGCCCACCTCGAGCGCGCGGTCGCTGAAGACGGCGTAGTGGGTGCACCCAAAGACGCCGCCGCAGAGACGGAACTGTTTCCTGATGAGGGCCAGCTCGTCGAACGCGTTTGGGGCGTTGGTGACTTCCGCCTGCGCGATGCTGAAGCAGTACAGCTTCGGCAGCGACGGGTCCTCCTCTGGAGGAGCACGAGCAGCTTCAATGACGTGCCGCCGCGGAGAACCCATCAGAAGGCTACGGTTAGGTCGGGCATGTCCCCCTACAGGCGGAGCTTGGACGAAAAATAAGGGACGGTCAAAACATATTCAATTATAGGGAACACAAACAATCGACAAATCGTCCCCATACGACTTTTCGGCTATTTTTGAAGATTCCCCCTGTAGAGGGAAATGCCCGACGTGATGCTTGATGGTCGAAGTGGCTGAAGGGCCCCTGGGACACACAAATAAATACACACAAATAACCAGACTCACCACATGTTCCCATACCTTCTGGGTTTTGTCTCCCGCCCACTTCCCATATTTTCCTGGGGAATCGACGATTCATTGTGTCTGTGTGTTTTGTTCCCCGCCCGAGAAGCGCCAGGCCTCCGGACAGCAAAACGACGGAGCAAAAACGCTGACGGGCTCTCGCGGGACGCACGGAGACATACTGGTACTACATTTTAAGTCGGGCCTGTCCCCCTACAGGGGGATTTTCGACGAATGATGGAAAAAATACCCCCAAATAACAAAACATAATCCAAAAATAGTCTGGGGACTATGTTTTGAGTAATGTTTTACCTTTTTGATGCGATTTTGGGGGTATGTTTTATTCTTCGCCGAGAATCCCCCTGTAGGGGGACAGGCCAGACTTAACACTGCATGCCCTCCTCGGAGGCGCGCGCCCGACCCGAGCATCTTGATGGGCCTGGTTTCTACCACCACCACCATGAGTTGGAGGGGGAGGGGGTCCTCCTCCTCCTCCTCCTCCTCCTCCTCCTCATCCCCCTCCTCCTACGCTCCTCATCCTCTCTCCTCCTCCTCCTCCTCCCTCCTCCTCCTCCTCCCCTCCTCCTCCTCCCCTCTCCTCTCCTCCTCATCCCCCTCCTCCTTCCTCCTCCTCCTCCTCCTATCCTCCTCCTCCTCCTCCTCCTCCCCTCCTCCTCCTCCTCCTCCACCTCCTCCTCCTCCTCTCCTCCTCCCTCCCCCTCCTCCTCCTACTCCCCCCCCCTCCTCCAACACCATCCTTGGAGGGGGTCCCTCCTC